ATTCAGGATTTTGATGAATCGATATCACGTTATCCAAGCCAGAATCGACTTTAATCGATCCATTGATAATGAATACCCAGCCCTAACCCAGCACATAACAGCAGGGTGCAAGATGCCAGCAGGCAGGGCGTGCATGGAGCATCATCTCCGCAGTGTACGGGAACATCTGTGCCGAATGCAGCCTGGAAGCCCCGAGGTCAAAATGAGAGACGCCCCCGAGGGTGGTGGAGAACGACCGAGCTCCTGTGGGACCGTGTGCAGAGACTCCCAAACTGGGCGAGCGGCTCCAGCAGATCCCGGGAATAACATCGGAGATCTCTGTCCAGCAGAGCGCAGTCCTGGGAACAGCTGAGACACTGTGCAGGAAGCTCACGCTCCCGGGGCGAGCCGGGAGTTTTATTTTTTATTCAAAAGCCAAATTATGTCAAAATGCCAATGAAGAACAAAAAGGATATTTAATGAGAAAACTGTCATCTACTAATCTACAGAAAATCATATACATGTGTAGTGTGTGTATGTTGTTAATATTGGCTTCAAACAACAACACGTGTGTAACCGTCCTCAGTCACCCAGGTCATGTGGTCTAAGGAGCTTGGAAAGAAAGCGGCTTGAAGACGTCTTTAAAGTGAAGAAGCTCGTCGGTGAAGCAGAGTCTGTGTGAAGCTTGATTTTCACACAGACTGAACCCTGATGTTGGACACTCAGGACTGTTGGAGGTGATGACTCGCATTCTCAGCCTGACCTAAATTCCTCAGCTGTGACAGCATCAGTCTCAGAGAAAACACTGGAGTCTGCAGTGCAGCTCCCACAGCTCCCACAGCTCCCACAGGCCCCACAGCTCCCACAGGCCCCACAGCTCCCACAGGCCCCACAGGCCCCACATCCAACAGCTTTATGGCTGCAGCTCCTCACTGGGAACACGAGCAGGCTGTGACAAACTGTGTTATTGTGCCTTCCTGCTCGGCGTGTTTAGAGGCAGCTGCCATTATGTAATGTGTGGGTAACGACTTGTTCAGGCCAAAAGAAGAATGGAGAGCTGGGAAAGCATTCAGTGGATGGTAGAGCACACACACAGACACACAAACTCATCAGCTGTGGACACAGACTGCACTGTTTTATAGACCTTCTCTCCACAGTGGTGACCCCTCACAGGTTCATTCATAGGTTTAAGTGATTCAGGTGAGCGCGAGCCTCTGTTACCTGTTCCTGGCATCATGACCCTGAATTGTGTTTGTGATTGTGTGTCTGTGTGTGT